AACACATCTATCTATCTATCTATTTCAGTCTGTTCATATCTATCTCAGTCTGCTATCTATCTATCTATCTATCTATTTCAGATGTGCTATTTGGTGATAGTTATTTTTGTAATATCTTGACGTATAGCTAAAATACTTAATGATATCATTAAAATTGTAATTAGGACTTAAATACTTTATTATAATTTTAATTAAAACTTACACATATTATAATTTTGATTAAGACTCAAACACACTATTATAATTTTAATTAAAAACTTAAACATATTATTATACCACTAACAAATAGATGAATCTATTTGTTATTGTTTCGATAAATTTATTTATACATTAAAAATTTTATAAAAATATTTCTTTTATTTAATAAAATGTCCAGCCCACCGATTTTGCCCCACATATGGCTTCACCTCAAAAAAAGTCTCTCAGATGCCGGCAACCTGTCGTATTTACTACAAAGAATTTATTTAAAATCTAACGTCACCTATAATCAGAAAAATATATTTCACTTTTCTATTAATCACCTGTGGTTGCGAATGAATCCACTTTGGGGATTAAAACAGAGAAAAGACACAGACACAGATACACACACACACACACACACACACACAAAAAAAAAAAAAAAAAAAAAAAAAAAAAAAAAAAAAAAAACAAAAAAACAAAAAAAAAAAAAAAAAAAAAAAAAAACTCTTGATGTTTAGTTCCTTCATTTAACATTGGTGACAATGAAAGATGAAAGCATAAAGTCAATGTTGTCACTTTCCCATGGCCGGTGACATTAAATGTTACCTTTACAATACTTACCTGTTTATCTACTGTCCTATCTACACATATATTTACGTATGTTGTATAGATCTACAGAGTTATCTGTAATTTTATCTAGTACGTGTGCATATATATATATATATATATATATATATATATATATATATATATATATATATATATGCCCATATGTATGTATGTATATCTTATTAAAATAAGCACAAATATAAAAAGTATATAATATATACCTTGGAATAAGCTTTACAATATTTAAAACTATAATTGTCATACGTGTAAATAGGTTATTTATATTTTCAGAATCAGGTGTGCAGTCATCTTAATTATTTCAATGTAGACATATGACTGTATCAATACATTAATGTATAGCTCATAAAAGACTTTTTACAATTTTACACATCAGATATTGTTTTTTGAATATAACTTTTATAAGTACCTTTACTCAACGCCTTTACATTATATAAAGATTGAACATTATACATTGAAAGATTTAGATCAAATTTCAGATAATAACTACGTGTCAGGTTGCAGATATATTGATCCACCTTCCATTATTATATTATTCACTTTTCTATTAATCATGTGTGGTTGCGAATGAATCCACTTTGGGTATTTAAACAGAGAAAAGACACACGCACGCAGACACACACACACACGAACACACACACACACAAAACTTTTGATGTTTAGTTCCTTCATTTAACATACATTATAACAATATACTTCATTTAACATACATTATATTTAACACACACACACACACACACACACAAAATTATATAATATAATTATTCCAGACAAGTAAAAACAAAGTGTTTATCATTTTAAAGTTTACAGACTTTAATTTATAGAAAAATAAAATCCCCAAAACACATCTATCTATCTATCTATCTATTTCAGTCTGTTCATATCTATCTCAGTCTGCTATCTATCTATCTATCTATCTATCTATCTATTTCAGTCTGTTCATATCTATCTCAGTCTGCTATCTATCTATCTATCTATCTATCTATCTATTTCAGTCTGTTCATATCTATCTCAGTCTGCTATCTATCTATCTATCTATCTATCTATTTCAGTCTGTTCATATCTATCTCAGTCTGCTATCTATCTATCTATCTATCTATCTATTTCAGTCTGTTCATATCTATCTCAGTCTGCTATCTATCTATCTATCTATCTATCTATCTATCTATCTATTTCAGTCTGTTCATATCTATCTCAGTCTATCTATCTATCATTCTATCTATCTATCTATCTATCTATCTATCTATCTATCTATCTATCTATCTATCTATCTCAGTCTGTTCATATCTATCTCAGTCTCTATCTAAAAATCTATCTATCTATCTCAGTCTGTTCATATCTATCTCAGTCTAACATCTATCTATCTATCTATCTATCTATCTATCTATCTATCTATCTATCTATCTATCTATCTATCTCAGTCTGTTCATACCTATCTCAGTCTGCTATCTATCTATCTATCTATCTATCTATCTCAGTCTGTTATATATCTATCTCAGTCTATATCTATCTATCTATCTATCTATCTATTTCAGTCTGTTCATATCTATCTCAGTCTGCTATCTATCTATCTATCTATCTATCTATCTATCTATTTCAGTCTGTTCATATCTATCTCAGTCTGCTATCTATCTATCTATCTATCTATCTATTTCAGTCTGTTCATATCTATCTCAGTCTGCTATCTATCTATCTATCTATCTATCTATCTATCTATCTATCTATCTGTAAGTGTATATGTATCTATGTATGTGTGTATGTGTAACTGTATATGTATATATGTGCATGTATGTGTATGTAAGTGTATATCGGTGTATGTAAGCTGTTGGAATTTGTGTTTTTGCTTCATCAGTAGTTTGCTTATAGTCAAATCTTTTGGACAAAAATATAATGTAACAATTTATCACATTCAAACAGAACTTGACATTGTCATGTCAGAATAGGAGCATACACGCGTTCACATGTACACAGATGTACACTACACACAGACAATGAGACAGGGACAGAAAGAGAGAGTGATAGAGAGGAAATGTGTGTGTGAGATAAAGATAGAGAGAGAGAGAGTGAGAGAGAAAGAGAGAGAGAGAGAGAGAGGAGAAACACGCGCACTTTATGCAGGTAAATATGACAGACCTAACTTTACAGGATATATGGAAGAGGTCGAATAAAAATTTCGGTCGATCGCCCAAGACGTTTCCCCAAACGCACGTTAACCATCACGTAACACCCTTGTACATAATAAACATTTAAAATAAAAATTAAAGCATTTTTCATGACATGACATCTTTTTAAGTTTAAAAATGTGGCAAGGTAAAAAAAGGTTTAAACTCATTGGCGCACACACACGTACGCACACACAGACAAAGCGCAAGCGACGTAAATGTTCCGACTGATTTGATTAAACACTCACACATTGAGGCAATTCTGTTGAAATAGAAGACGCAAAAAGTCCGAATAAATTAAAAAGTTATAACTTTATGGAAACTTATTTTAAGTCTCTCTCTCTTTCTATATATATATTGAAATAACAAAAAAAGATACAAAAACTTATATATTTGTTTTTTAGAAAATGAAGTTTATAAATATATAAATACTTTCTTTTTAGTTCTTTTTTTTCTAAAAAAAGTTTTATCGCTTTTGGAACGACTGCCAATGACAAATAAAATACAAATGGCTTGTTTCACGTTCACGGCCAGGTAAGTTAAAAAAATTGAAAAGTAAGAAAGGTAAAAAATAAACAAATAGTTTTACTTACTCAATACAAAATCACGAAAGTCTTCACTACTCTTTAGTAACTCATCGAAATGTCTGGATTCCATTTTCATTAACAAAATATTTTCATGTCCACAGTCCAGTAAACTAATCCAACTGTTTTGTTATCCATGTTTAAGTAAATGCAATATCCATTAAAATAATAATAATAATAATAATAATAATAATAAATAATAAATAATATTGAAAGTTTTCCGGATATTTTCTTTTCAATTTGTTTTGAAAAATCATTTACTTTTACCTTGCAGTTATATTGTTGTGAGGTGTTCAACTGACGAGGAGAATTTATTTCTTTCTTTTTTTTTCTTGGCAAAACTTTTCTAGTGGTTGAGCTCTGAATCTTATTTAGGGAATAATGTCAACCACAAAAAAAGGAGGCGTGTTCTTAGGTAGTGAAGTTAGATGACGTGTACAGCTGCATCTCACGAAATCTCTCATTTTAATGTCACTCACTCATTCATTTCTTACTTGCCTTTACCCCCTCCCCCGACTCGTTTTTTCTTTCCTCTTTTATTACTCTAAAAAGGAGAGTAGGAGTTAGATGTTTGAGAATAGAATGATTGACTGAAAGGAAGAGGGAGTAGACTTGCGAATTGGGAGAAAGAGCAAGTTTGAAAACGTTGACAAGGTGAGAGAAAGAAACGAATAAATAAAAGTAAAACTGTGAGAGGGAGTTCATGGAAAAAGGGGAGGATAGAAGGGTTGGGAAAGTTAGTGACTAGTACTAGTACATGGTTGAAGGGGTGTCTTTTACTTTTTTTTATCTTACATTTCATTATATATTTATTTATTTTAAATATCCGTAAAGAGGCGGTTAAGTAACGAACTAAAACAGAAAAACGGGAACGAAACGTTAGTATACATTATATATATATATATATATATATATATATATATCGAGAGAGAGAGAGAGAGAGAGCACTTTATTAAGATTTCTCGAGTGCACAGGCCGATAGACATAATAAACACATTAAAATAAAAACAGGGTCTCTATCTCCAATACGGATATCCACTAACGTTTGAAGTAATCAAATAGTGAACAAACACTAAAAAGGACTGTTTTAAAACGTGTGCCTCTATCCAGCGTCTAAAAACTTTATTACCTATACGTTTTTATATATATATATATATATATATATATATATATATATATATATATATATATATAAATCTAAACAAAACTCAACTGGTCACGACTATAAGTTTCATGTGTTTTAAACAATCATTGCCTGCATGATGAATGCCATAGAAAAAGTTTCTTTTTAATCTAACATGTGGGAAATTCTTTGCCCTCTAAACACTATTCACATTTCAAAAATTTAAATGCAATGTCAATAAAAAAAGAAATTCTCTTAATTTGGTTCTGCCCTCTTCTCTTTCCAATTCCAAATTTTTAAATACTCATCGTCATTGATTTAAATGCAATGTCTCTTCAAAAATCTTAAATGTCTTTATCTTCTGTCTTCTTAATTTTTTGTTTTTATTCTCTCTCCTTAATAGTAGTTTTTCTCATATTCTCTAACAGGTTCAATAACCACTTTGCATCCAAGTGGCTTTTATTGCCTTTGATCTTCAAAAAATTTAAATATAATGTCAATCGTTATCTTTTGTCTTCTTAATTCTTGTTCTTTTATTCTTTCTCTCTCCTTAATAGTAGTTTTTCTCATATTCTCTAACACTCAATAACCCCTTGCATCCTAGTGGCTTTTATTGCCTTTGATCTTCAAAAATTTAAATGCAATGTCAATCATTATCTTTTGTCTTCTTAATTCTTGTTCTTTTATTGTTCTCTCTCCTTAATAGTAGTTTTTCTCATATTTCTAACACTCAGTAACCCCTTGCATCCTAGTGGCTTATTTATTGCCTTTGATCTTCAAAAATTTAAATGCAATGTCAATCGTTATCTTCTGTCTTCTTTAATTCTTGTTCTTTTATTGTTCTCTCCTTAATAGTAGTTTTTCTCATATTCTCTAACACTCAATAACCCCTTGTATCCTAGTGGCTTTATTGCCTTTGATTTTCAAAAATTTAAATGCAATGTCAATCGTTATCTTCTGTCTTCTTTAATTCTTGTTCTTTTATTTTTCTCTCTCCTTAATAGTAGTTTTTCTCATATTCTCTAACACTCAATTAACCCCTTGCATCCTAGTGGCTTTATTGCCTTTGATTTTCAAAAAATTTAAATGCAATGTCAATCGTTATCTTCTGTCTTCTTAATTCTTGTTCTTTTATTGTTCTCTCTCCTTAATAGTAGTTTTTTTCTCATATTCTCTAACACTCAATAACCCCTTGCATCCTAGTGGCTTTATTGCCTTTGATTTTCAAAAAATTTAAATGCAATGTCAATCGTTATCTTTCTGTCTTCTTAATTTTGTTGTTTTTTATTCTTCTCTCTCCTTAATAGTAGTTTTTTCTCATATTCTCTAACACTCAGTAACCCTTGCATCCTAGTGGCTTTATTGCCTTTGATCTTCAAAAATTTAAATGCAATGTCAATCGTTATCTTTGTCTTCTTAATTCTTGTTCTTTTATTGTCCTCTCTCCTTAATAGTTTTTTTCTCATATTTTCTAACATTCAGTAACCCTTTGCATCCTAGTGGCTTTATTGCCTTTGATCTTAAAAAATTTAAATGCAATGTCAATCGTTATCTTCTGTCTTCTTAATTCTTGTTCTTTTATTGTTCTCTCTCCTTAATAGTAGTTTTTCTCATATTCTCTAACACTCAGTAACCCCTTGCGTCCTAGTGGCTTTATTGCCTTTGATCTTCAAAAATTTAAATGCAATGTCAATCATTATCTTCTGTCTTCTTAATTCTTGTTCTTTTATTGTCCTCTCCTTAATAGTAGTTTTTTCTCATATTCTATAACACTCAGTAACCCCTTTGCATCCTAGTGGCTTTATTGCCTTTGATCTTTAAAAAATTTAAATGCAATGTCAATCGTTATCTTCTGTCTTCTTAATTCTTGTTCTTTTATTGTTCTCTCTCTCCTTAATAGTAGTTTTTCTCATATTCTTTAACACTCAGTAACCCTTTGCATCCTAGTGGCTTTATTGCCTTTTGAATAAAAAATTTAAATGCAATGTCAATCGTTATCTTCTGTCTTCTTAATTTTGTTCTTTTATTTTCTCAATGTCTTAATAGTTTTTTTCTCATTTTTCTAACACTTCAATAACCCCTTGCATTTCTTGGCTTTATTGCTTTTGATTTTTTCAAAAATTTAAATGCAATGTCAATCGTTATCTTGTCTTCTTAATTTTGTTCTTTTATTCTTCTCTCTCCTTAATAGTAGCGTTTCACATATTCTCTAACAGTCAGTAACTCCTTGAATCCTAGTAGCTTTATTGCCTTTGATCTTCAAAAATTTAAATGCAATGTCAATCATTATATTCTGTCTTCTTAATTTTTATTCTTTTATTTCCCTCTCTCCTTAATAGTAGCGTTTCACATATTCTCTAACAGTCAGTAACTCCTTGAATCCTAGTAGCTTTATTGCCTTTGATTTTCAAAAATTTAAATGCAATGTCAATCGTTATATTCTGTCTTCTTAATTTTTGTTCTTTTATTCTTCTCTCTCCTTAATAGTTTTTTTCTCATATTTTCTAACACTCAGTAACCCCTTGCATCCTAGTGGCTTTATTGCCTTTGATCTTTAAAAGATTAAATGCAATGTCAATCATTATATTCTGTCTTCTTAATTCTTGTGTTTTGGGGGTTTTTTTGTCCTCGCCCCTTAATAAAAGTTTTTCTCATGTTATCTAGCACTAACCTTTTGTATCTTAGGGCTTTTCATTGCCTTACTTGGATGTTCAAATATAAAAATAAAAAAAACCATTTTCAGTGAATACTGAATGTTTACAATATTTCTTTTCATTTTTCCAAAATTTTAATTAGAATAATTTATTAAGTCTTAAATCTTTTTAAATTGTGTATGAATTTGTAATGGTTAGGTAATATTATTTATTAATTATAAATTGAAAACCTTACATAATTCAACAATCCCCAATATTTTAAAATGAATTTTGAATTTATTTTATGTATATATAAATGTTATGTTTATTTTATGTATATATATATAAACGTGTCGATTTTTATAAATACGAATGTCCAAAAGCGACATTATCAGAACATAAGATCGGTAACTAAAGTAAAATTAAAATTTTTTGGTAATTTTCTAATATTTCCTCAACAAGCCAAAGTACTTACAATTCAATAAAACATTAGATTGCTTAGAATATTTTCTTTTTTTTTAAATTACTAGGTAGTGAAAAAATATATTAAAAAAGGAATCCATACTATATTCGTAAAAAATAATTGTTACAGTTAATTTCCTCGTAGAAAAAATTACCAAACGTAAGTCTAGCGAGAAAGTTATCAACACCTCATAAATACAGACACTGTATTAAAAATGCTTTTCATCGTTATATTAAGTAATATTTGTTTCAAATCAGAGTAATTACACTTTAAATCAGCTAATCTACTTCAAATGAAGATTTGAAAATATTTTCAAAGTTTTTTAATAAATTACGTTATGCTGACGCATAATATAATATATATGTTTATATGTTTGTCTCTCTCTCTCTCTCTCTACCTATCTATCTAACTATATATATATATATATATATATATATATATATATATAGACATGAAGTCAATTTTCAGGATGTCAAATTATTTTTAATATTAAACGCAATCGTCAGGCCTATGGTTGTTGACGTCAATGTCCACTTTTATATCTAAATACGCTGTATCCCTGATATTTTACATAGAAATATAGCATACGTTTAAACTCTGTGTGTGTGTGTGTGTGTGTGTGTGTGTGTGTGTGTGTGTGTGTGCATGTAATAAAAAATTTATATGCGTTTTTTTAGTGTGAGTATACACTCTTTGTATGTACATCTAAACTTATATGAATGTGTAAGTGACGAACACCTACAATTCGTTCTCTTTTGTGTATGTTTTGTACCTTATAATAGTTTGTATGCGTATGAGTGTGTATTATAAAACTACTATCATTAAACCTCCTTCTAGGACGTCTGCTTTCAAACGTGACCCGTGTATGTGTGGTGGTGTGCTTATGTAATATATATAATGTATGTGTATAGTTAAGTTTTATGGGGGCATAATGATGACAGTAACAGTGACACAACAAAATTTTTTTCTTTTATTATCACTCTCTAAAAATAAAATTTTTTTTCTTTTTCTTGAAAATAACTTTCTCTCTCTCTCTCAATTTATCTCTCTTCTCTCATTTTCTCTTTTTGATTACATTTGTCTATGCGTTTAGGAACGTTTGGGCATTTTTTTGTCTCTTTTTGCCCTCTCCTTATATATTTTACATAATTCTTATGCGTTTAGGAAAAATACAATTTGAAAATTGTCTCTCTTCTGTCTTTTTATCTCCTAAAAAAAAATTTTTTTTTCTAACCGTTATTTTTCATACAAATTTAGGACTGGGAATTTCTCTGTCTCTCTTTTTGTCTCTCTTTCCTTTCTCAATTTAAAAAATTCATTATTCTCTATGTGTTTAAATAAATGGGATATTTTGCGCGCGCAGATAGATATATGCGCACTTCGGCATGTTTAAATTTGTGTGGTATCTTTAAAAAATGCTGTCGTCAAAATGCATACAGAATGACTGGAGGGCTTTACTCTGCTACTGGGCACACATGTTTAAATTATGTTTGTATTATGATCAGACACGTACGCTCATGTATATACACGGAACGTACATTTAAAATTTTGAGTCCTTTTAAATGATTACAATACACCGTTGAGTGTGATTTGCTTTGTGAGCACCTATGTTTATAAAGATAGCTCACGTATTGTTTTAATACATTATAATATTGAAGTGTATTCTATATTTAAAATTCTACAACTGATTTTCTTATGTTTTTGAAATTTTTATAGCTAATTTTTTTTTTACAAATTGTTTATGAATTCAAAAAGGCAAAGCCACTAGAAACAAAAAAATGTTACAAGAGTTAATTCGAAAAAAATATTATTAAATTAAATAGTAAAAATGATACATAATTTAAGGACCAATCTTTCACGTCCAATATCCAGAATAACCTATCCCATTTAAATAATCTTAGAATAGTGACAAACACTTAAAAAAACCAAAATTATGGATATACTAAATCAAACACCAATAGCACTAATATTTCTTGAAGCAGACATTTATAAAATAAATTGCCAAACTGTTTCCCAATATATTGGAGAAACAAGTAGAAATTTAAAAAAAAAAAAAATTTATGAGCACAAAAGAGACCTCAAAAAAAACAATTTTAACTAATGCACTAGTCATACATAGAAATAAATTCAACCATAATTTTGATTTTAAAAATGCTCCACTCATAAAAAAAGAAAATAACTTTCCTCAGAAGGAAAATTCTGGAAGATGAAACGATACAGAATATTACCCAAATATTAAATACGCCCATGTTTTTTTCCCTATTTCACCTTTCTTAACAAAAATTACTGTCTCCCAAACAAACATACACAACAATAAAAAAAAATCAAAAGAAAATGGTTGAAAATCAACACAGCTATAATGACAATATTCTCCACACGTGACAAGTAATTGTGTTTTATTTTCAGTTAACAATATGAAAATAGCGTAAGAATGGAATTAATTCCTCCAGTTGCTAAAAAACATTCATTTTTTTTATTATTTATTAGTTCTTTCTTTAATTAAATTGATTTTCTTTTTTTGCTTTGAGAAAGTCCACATTGAAGGAAACGCATCAGCAATATTCTAGTTTGAATATAATATTATATATATATATATATATATATATATATATATATATATATGTATATGTATGTATGTATGTATAAAAATGTATGTAGGTAAGGCATATTTTTTTATTTTAGAACATGACGGAAAAATTGAAAATTTTATTAATTTTTCCAGTGTTACATTGTTCCGGTTGTTAGAAGTGAAAAGTACAAAAACTGTCCATCGTCGACTGTTACAAAATAATTTTTGTTACTTCATTATCCATTTTTAAGGAGGTTTTCTTCTGAGGTTGTTAGTTTTGATGCATATTTTGACTGTTTGAGTAATTACGTTATCATGTATTAAAAATTTATATATATATATATATATATATATATATATATATATATATATATATATATATATATATATATATATAATAAAAAAAAAGCCCAGGAAACTAAAGGGAATTTTAATAAAAGGAGATTTTAAAAACGAATAAAACCAATTTTTGAAAGAAAATATAAAAAGAAAAACGGAAAAAATATACTAAGAAAAAAAAAAAGGAAAAACCAAAAGAGTAACAAACAATTCTATACGCTTAGGTTAACTAAGACAGTGTAATTACGCTTCATAGAGTCACGCCTAAAAGTGAGACAAAGTTCGGACAGCTACTTAATATTTACGCTATCATGATTTTCAGGCGCTCTGGTCATATGACAATCGCGGCAGCGTGAAAATTAAGTTGAGGTACGAACTTTGTTAATATATATATATTAACATATTTCCATTTACCAAATTTACCTGTAAATTGGCAATGTTAATGTGATTAATGGTGAAATAATTTTCTGTGAAAAAAAAACTAAGACATTTAATCTATTAATTGGACTATACTTGTCCATGTCACTTTAACTGAAAAATACATGCAACAAAAAATTCGTGGATTTATCATATTACTAAATTCAAACAAAATTTTCACTTTAAACATTTAAACAAGAACTCTAGCGTAACAATTCAAATATAAGGATCGCGTTATTCAGGGAATTGATAGTAAGTTAATGTATCATTAGTCTTGTTAGCGAAGTGATTTCGCCATTAATCACAACTTTACTAATTAATTCTTTGTATAATTTTTTTTTTATGATATAATATATATATATATATATATATATATATATATATATATATATATATATATATATATATATTTATTTATAAGCAAATATATGGATATAGATCCGACAGTATGAAGAAAAAATATATACGGAAAAAAAAAAAATGTTAATTACATTTTTATGAATATGTCCTGAAGATGGTTTATTAGACCGAAACGTCCGACGTTGACATATTAACATTAAAACAGCATAATTTTATATAAGGATTTTTGTTTGTTTTTTTCCGTATATATTTTTCTTTATATATATATATATATATATATATATATATATACACTGCACAATAATATATATATATATATATATATATATATATATATATATATATATATAGAGAGACATTTGTATATATTTAAATATACTGCATATATATATGTACTGCATATATACATATATACTTTATGTATATATATGTATATAAATAAATATATAAATATTCTGAATATATATATATATATATATATATATATATATATATATATATATATATATATTAGAGTTTGCAGCTTATATCATAAAAAGTAATTTATACAAAAGAATTAATTAGAGAGACTGAGTAATACTAACAAAATAGATATTCACAAAAAAAATAAGCCATTTAATAGACTACCTAAAATCAAAGGATGGAATACTCATATTAGAGAAGGGAAAATTCTTCAACGCTGGAGTGAGTATATTGGAGAACTTTTCCATGGCGAAAAGGACCAACCAGCAATACACAGAATTACCGACGGACCTGGAATTTTGAAACCAAAGTAAAAGTTGCACTGGTCAAATAGAAACAAAGCAGCTGGGCCAGACGGAATTGTAACGGAAATGCTGATAGCCTTAGAGGATTTTGACATAGACAAGATGACCGAAATGAAATCAACAACAGCGGGGATATGCCGGGAGACCTCAGCAGATCTATCTTCATAGCTATGCCTAAGAAACCAGGCGCAAACGAATGAGAACTCCATTGGAAAATAAGCCTGATGAGCGATGTGAGAAAACTCATCCGTATTTTGATGAACTGAGCGCATAGTAGAATGAAGCAAGAGATATGACAAGAACAGTGCCGGTTTGTTAAAAACACCAGAACAGGGAACGCGATATTCATGCTCAGAATGTTATCAGAAAGTGTATCAATGTTTCATAGACTATGCAAAGGACTTCATCAAAGTATGCCACAAGGATCTGCTCAGCAACCTTGATATATTTGGGAAAGATATCAGAATAATCAAGAACCTATACTGGCAGCAAACAGCATGCATGTGCAAAGGGAACGAGTTCAATGAATATACAAAAATAGAAAGGGGCGTAAGACAAGGATGCATCTTCTCACCTGACCTGTTCAACCTACACAGCGAGGCAATTCTGAGAGAATTTGAGATTCTACTGGGATTTAGCACTGGCAACCACAATCTTAACAATATCAGATATACAGATGACACAGTACTGATAGCAGACACAGAAAAGAAATTACAAAATCTCCTACAATAGGTAGCGACGGAGAGTGAAAAGAATGGGCTAAGTATAAACTACAAGAAGATTCAGTGCATGGTCATCAGTAAAATGATGAGCCCGAAATACGATTTGCAGGTTGGGAACACTAGAATCAAGCGGACGCGGAAGTTTAAATATCTGGGAAGCGTTTTGACAGAGGACGGTAAGTGCTACACCGAAATCCGTAGACGTATTGGGATGGCCAAGAAACATTCCAAAAGCTGAACAGAGTATTGCAAGACAGGAGGGTTTCTTTGGTAACAAAGAAAAGAATACTATCTTTCCTTACAGCAGCGAATGTTGGACGTTTTCCTCAAAGATGAAGAAAAGAATAGAGGCGAAGGAGATGTGGTTCTACAGAAGGATGCTAAGGATAACATGCGTGTGAGCGACGATAAGGTCTTGGAGATGATGCAAACAAGAAGGAGACATACGTAACATCAGGAAGAGGCAGTTGAAGTTTTGAACGTGATGAGAAAACAGGGTCTGGAGAATCTGATACTCACGGATCAAATAGAGGGAAAGAAAAACGAATGAAAAACATGGAAAGCAAGTTAACCGTAGGAAAGCAATTTGATGGTAGGAAAGCAATCTGGCCGTAGGAAAGCAAGTTGATGGTAAGAAATAAAGTTGTCTGTAGGAAGGAAGACTGATGATAAGAAAGAAAGTTGGCCGTAAAAAAGCAAGGAAAGTAAACTGGCGGTCGGAAACCAATTTCATGATAGGAAAGCAAGTTGTCCGTAGGAAAGCAATTTGAGCGTAAGAAAGTAAGCTTCAAGAAGGAAACAAATTTGTTGAAAGAAAAGCAAGTTGGCAGTAGGAAAGCAATTCGAGCGCAGGAATGTAAGCTGCAGGGATGAAACCAGGTTCATGAGAGGTAAGCAAATTAACCGTAGGAAAGCAATTTGGCCGTAGGAAAGTAAGCTACCGGGAGGAAAACAATTTGTTGCAAGGAGAACAAGTTGGCCGAAGGAAAACAGTTTCATGAAAGGAAAGCAATTTGGCCGAAGGAAGGCAATTTGAGCGTAGAAATATAAGCTGCCGGGAGGAAACCAATTAGTTGAAAGGAAAGCAAGTAGGCTGTAAAAAAGCAATTTAAACGTACGTAAGTAAGTTGGCGGCCGGAAACCAGTTTCATGATAGGAAAGCAATTTGGCCGAAGGAAAGCAATTTGAGAGTAGGAATGTAAGCAGCCGGGAAAAAATCAATTTGTTGAAAGGAAAGCAAGTAGGCCGTAAAAATGCAATTTGAACGTACGTAACTAAGCTGGCGGCCGGAAACCAGTTTCATGATAGGAAAGCAATTTGGCCGTAAGAAAACAATTTGAGCGTCGGAATGTAAGCTGCCGGGAGGAAACCAATTTGTTGAAAGGAAAGCAAGTAGGCCGTGAAAAAGCAATTTGAGCGGACGAAAGTAAGCTGTCGACCGGAAACCAGTTTCATGATACGAAAGCAATTTGGTCGAAGGAAAGCAATTTGAGAGTAGGAATGTAAGTTGCCGGGAGGAAACCAATTTGTTGAAAGGAAAACAAGTAGGCCGTAAAAAAAGCAATTTCAACGTACGTAAATAAGTTGGAGGCCGGAAACCAGTTTCATGAGAGGAAAGCAATTTGGCCGTAGGAAAACAATTTGAGCGTCGGAATGTAAGCTGCCGACAGGAAACCAATTTCTTGAAAGTAAAGCAAGTTGCCCGTAAAAAAACAATCTGAACGTAAGTAAGTAAGCTGGCGGCCGGAAACCAGTTTCATGATAGGAAAGCAATTTGGCCGTAGGAAAACAATTTGAGCGTAGAAATATAAGCTGCCGGGAGGAAACCAATTTGTTGAAAGGAAAAAATACAAAAAAAAAAGCAATTTGAGCGTACGTAAGTAAGCCGTCGGGGCGAAACCAGTTTCATGATAGGAAAGCAATTTGGCCGTAGGAAAGCAATTTGAGCGTAGAAATATAAGCTGCCGAGATTAAACCAATTTGTCGAAAGGAAGCAAGTAGACTTTAAAAAAGCAATTTCAAAGTACGTAACTAAGCTGGCGACCGGAAACCAGTTTCATGAAAGGAAAGCAATTTGGCCGAAGGAAAGCAATTTGAGCGTCGAAATGTAAGCTGCCGGGAAGAAACCAATAATCTCATAAAAGGAAAGCAAGTTAATTTAAAAACAATTTGAACGTAGTTTAATTTCCATTATTGGCGGAAACCAGTTTCATGATAGGATAGCAATTTGGCAGACAGGAAGTCTGATGATCTTTGGAATATAAGCTTGAAGAAGGAAACCAATTTGTTGAAAAGGAAAGCAATTAGGCCGTAAAAAGCAATTAGAACGTATGTACTTAAATTGGCTTAGAAACCAGTTTTTGATGATAGGAAAGAAATAAAATCCGTAGGAAAACAATTTGAGCGTAGAAATATAAGCTGCCGGGAGGAAACCAATTTGTTGAAATGAAAGCAATAGGCCGTAAAAAAGCAATTTGAACGTACGTAACTAAGCTGACGGCCGGAAAACTGTTTCATGATTGAATATAATTTCGCCGTATGATATTTGTAAGCAATTTGAGCGTAGGAATATATATTCTCGGGAGGAAACCGTTTTTGTTGAAAGGATGTTTAAGTTGTTTAGTAAAAAAATTTAATCTTGCGGTCGGAAACCAATTTGAAAATTGGAAAGCAAGATGACTGTTAAAAAATCAATTTAAGCTTCGGAATGTAATCTGGCGATTGGAAACCATTTTTATAATTTTCAACACATGTTCCTTGTAGAAAGCTTAATTTGAGCCTAGGAAAGCAGACTTTTTTTGGAAAGCTTTTTTGATGATAGGAAAGTGAAGATTATAGTAGTAAACCAATTTGATGATGTTAAAGCAAATTGCCCGTAAGAAAGTAATTTGAACGCAGAAAAATAAACTGTTCGTAAGAAAGCTATTTGAGCATAGGAAACCAGCTGGCCATAGGAGTACAATTTGATTGTAGAAAGGCGTACTGTGATCATAGGAAAGGAAGTTTTTCATTTGATTTTAGGAAATCCCGCTGACGGTAGGAAATTAATTTGGTGATAGGAAAAAAATGGAAAGCAGTTTGATGTTAGGAAAACAAGTTATCGTAGCAAAAGATTTGATGGTAGTAAAGCAAGTTGGACGTAGGAAAGCAATTTGGGCGTAGGAAATTTGTCTGTAGCCAAGCAATTTTGTTGATAGGAATGAAGTTGGCTAAAGGCAAGCAATTTGATGGTAAGAAAGTTGGTCGTTCGAACGCTAGTTGATGGTTGTCTGTAGGAAAGCAATTTGACCGAAGGAAAGCAAGCTGGCTGTCGAAAAGCAATTTGAGGATATGAAAGCAAATTTGAAACTTTTTAATTGTTTACACCAGCAAATGATTTTAATTTTAACCTTTTCAAATATTACTAATGTTTTTATAAATTATTATTCGACTATGTAAAAAAATCTCCAAATTTTGATTACATATTTGTCGGAGTAGCAATTAATTAAAATTATTCTCACCTCCGCACAGACAGACAGACATACACAGACACGGACACACACACAAACACACACAGACACACACACACACACACACACACACACACATATATATATATATATATATATATATATAACTTTTATTATTATATTTTTTCCCTGTCCATTCATTCACGTCATCCGCGACAGACTTTCTTCTGATAATTGGTTTCCCCGTTTACAGTTCTGACGAGAGGGGACGAAACCGGTCGACTCGTGTTCGTGCTTTTGTTTTAAAATTTATCATGGCCTAGGCCCTATAGTAAAAAAAAGTTCTTGCCTTCTTTTTGTACCGTAAAAAACATATTTAAATATATATATATATATATATAAATATGTATAAATTAAATTATTAACAATTATTACTTTAGAATTTGCTATATTTATAAGAGTACACAGTAACAAGCAACAGTGTATTTTTACAGGCAGTGATGGATAAATCGTTGTTAATTAAAATGCAATTTTAACACACACACACACAGATATATATATATTTATTTATGTGTGTGTGTGTGTGTGAAAATATATAGAAAAAAGGAAAGAACTCGTTAGGTAAATAATTAGAAAAGTTTTTTAGTATTTGAATTATTATTATTTTAAAAAAACAGTGCTAGATACAAAAAGTAGAGCCTAAATATAAGATTTATTTAAAAATATGATTCCATTCACTACATAAGAGTTCTCAAGTTTCAAAAAATATATATTGAAGTTTTCTCAAGATCTTGTTTTGAAACATGAGAAGAGATAAGGTGATGGAATCAAATTTTTAAATAAATAATTATATTATATATATATATATATATATATATTAGAGACCGAAATTTACCTAGACAATAGACTCTTCCAGGCCTATATTTTTAAATTATAGCACTCTGAAAATGAAAGTGAGAGTCTATTTAACAGATATATTTACCAAAATTACACAAAAATATGTTGAAACGCCGAAGAGCAAATTTATTCAATGAAATCGCCATTGGTTTCAACAACGACCTCCAGATGACTTCAGAATCTCCACCAACTCTTTTGGATGTCTTTTTGTCTTAGTTGGTGAAAGCTGCCATATTCCTTGCCTTCAGTTCGTCTTTGGTCTGAAAAGGAATTTTGTCTGTCTCTCTCTCAACTACCCACCAAATAAAATAATCAAGGGGCTTTTAGCTCGAGGAGTTAAGTGGACAGATGTAATGGGGTGATGTAATTGTAGAATTGGCAGCCATGATTTCCTCACCCCTGCTTGCATGGCATGGTGCAGAGTCCTGTTGCCACATATAGGGGCTTCCAGCAGACACCCTCTTGACTCAGGACAGCACTTGATGTAGGCCTCCATGTGGAGTCTGAGGCCCTGTGGAAAGATGAATGGAGGTATAACGTCACCATAGCTAATGCTCACTCCAAACATCTTCGTAATCACCATTAGACTCATCCAACTCTTTCCGAATCCTCTGCACTGTTCTCAGATTGACACCCAAAGACTTTGAAATTTACGTATTGGAGCTTACGGAGCAAATGAAAAAACAATATAGAATGTCGTTTCCAAATTTCTGGCGGAGTGACTGGCGTCATGGTGCACTTTTTCTCACAGACGGTGCACAACTGACCCTACTATAATGTCCAGTCGACAAAATCAAAAAGAAAAAACGCGCATGCCCAAAATTAAAGATATAAATGGCGACAATTTACCCATCTCACACTGTACACATACACACACACACGCGCACATACACACACACACTCTCTCTCTCTCTCTCTCTCTCACACACACACACAAACAAACACACACACACACACACACACACACACACACATATATATATATATATATATATATATATATATATATATGTGTGTGTGTGTGTGTGTGTGTGTATTTAGCAGAATTGCCTCTTAAATGTAAATTTTGTTAAACCGACTGACTAGTTGCTGTGGTTAAGGTGCTTTTATATAATGTTTCATGTGTTATAATTTTTTTCTTTTCTAAACATAGATTATATAAAAATTATCTAAATGTTTTATATATTATCCAAGCACTTTCAGCTATACTTTTAGCCATTATCAAAGATGAATTTTATTTTACTTTTAACTGAATATATGGATTGTTTTATGCATGTATCTAGAGTTATAGGAATATTTTATTTTCCAAATATAGTCAACACTTGATCGTGTTCATATTTGATATTATTGAGTGTTGGTTTATTTTCTTTTTTTATTGATAATGCTTCTATTATTTTTAGCCTTTTCATATATGTGGATGAGGCTATTATATTTGTATTACCAACGAGTATATTACGAATTGAGTTTGGTAGGTCTCCATGTGTATTTAAACGAGACTTAATTGATCTATGGTCAGAGAGATATAATGTGAGTCTTCTTGTTAAACATGTTGTAGTATATCCAATATAATCATTTATAAATTTAGATTGGTCAAGAACACAGCTCTTTAAGGGACATGTAAATTTGTAAATAATATTGGTTCTCTGTAACGAAACTTGCATAATATATATGAATACTTTAATAAATGTTTGGCTGCCTCTCGCTTTCCTGCCTGTTGGAAATCTTCTTCTGGCAAACTACTAGAGGCCCTAAACAACTATGAATTAGTTAAGCATCGGACATCGTAGGGCATTCTTCCAGACAAGTAATGTTGCTTTTGCTTCTCTCGGTCAACTACTGATTAATTAACGATTATTACTGAAAGGGTTTATCACACTTTAGATAAGAATGACAAAGCTTGAACTATTGCTTTCTATATCTGGAAAGCGTTCGACAGGGTTTAATATACTGGTCTTCTTCACAAGTTAAAATGTTATGGTGTCTATGAACAAATTTTTGTACTGATTCAGTCATTTTTATCAAATTGTGAAATGGAAGTTATCTTGAACGGCCACTCTTCTAGATCGTTTTGTATTAATTTATTATTTTTGGACTTTTTTTTACAGATTT